GCCTGAAGATGAGAAGTACAAGGTCACACCAACTGAGCTGGCAGACGTGCAGGAGAAGATCCGTGCAATTAAGCTCCTTATCTTGCTGATTCAGATGCATATTCTTTTCTGACTTTTAAATACTTTTCGATAGAAATAGGAACCACAGTGTTGGGACTTTGTGTGAGACAAATCCCTAAGGCTGCGGTTGGAAAAGAGTGCAAGGCCTTTGCAAACCAGGGAAGCTTTGCCGAAAGCTCCTCCTCCAGTTGATTTCAGTGGGGCTGACACCGTGCCTTATGATCTGTCGCCGGTTGCCAAGGCATGGACAAAGCCCACAAGCCCCAAGGAGGTGGACAAGAAGGGCGTTGAGGGAGAGGGTCCAGGTGCCCCTTCTGAGACGGAGGATATGTTTCACAACGAGGCACCACCATTGAGGCGGTCAGAACAAGTCATTGCAAAGAAAAGAAAAGACATTGAAGCGCATGATGAAGAAGGTCAGTGGCCTGACCAGGAGCCCAAAAAGAGGCAACGGAAGGCAAGGAAGCCGACAAGCCAGAAGAAGAAGGGCAAGACACAATGCAAGGAGAAGAAGGTGAAGGGTAAGAAGCCCCAGCCGAAAAAGAAGAATCAAAAGAAACAGCCAAAGGCAAAGAAGACCTGCGAGGAAGAGAAGCAGGAAGAGGGTGAGGAGACACCAGTGGCACCAGCTACCGAGCCATCAAATGAAGCAGCAAAGGCTGCAAAGAGAAAAGCCAAAGGGAAAGTCAAGGCACAGGGCATGAAGGCGGTCAAGGCCTCTGAGAAGGCCAAGAAGACGGATGACAAGGAGACGGCGAAGGGCCTGAAGCCACCCAAGGCCAAAGCCAAAGCTAAGGCCAAGAGCAGTTCCAAGAAGGCACGCACTGAGGATGGCAAGTCAGTGGCTGCTAGTGACCAGGCTGAGAATGGTGATGAGCCCTGCGATGGCAAGCGATCCTTTGCGAGGCGGAACCGCCCAGCCAAGGATGTGGAGGCAGGCCGGCGATGGGATGCTATCAGGAGTGTCTTCATTGCCCGTCTGCGTTGCCAGCTCAAAAAAACTTCGCAGATGGAGGCAGGATGGCCTGACAAAAACAATTTCCCAAACATATATTGATAACAGTTGTTTGAATTGGTTGTACTTTGGTTTGGCTTCCTGAAGGTCCTTTTCTGGAACTACTGCATGGAAAAGATCAAGGACAACGGCACCGTCAGCAATTATGGTTTCTTCGTCGAGGGTCTTGTGCAATCTTTCCTTGACCAAGATGCGGTCGCCGGCAACACGAATGTGTAAATCAAATTCAATTTTTTGTGTTGAAGGTCGATTTGGTGTGCAAGAATTCTTTGAGTGAAGTAGCTCTTGACAACTCCAATCTGAGGCAATTTGGTGAGCCATGGGGCTGCAAGCGCAGCTTGAGATATACACGGTAGGGATTGAAGTGGGCTGAAGTTGCCTAGGCGCATTGGATAGAAACGATGAATGAGGTAGGTTTCCTTCTGTTGTCAAAAGCAGTCGTTACCAGACCTATTCAGCCTATTCAGTATTGTTGGTGCAACATGTTGGAAACCCGTATGTAGTGGACTCTACCTCAGTACTGACATGCCTATGCGCTCGTGCAACCAATCATGTTGCGAACCTGGCCATCTGAAGGGGAGCTGCCGGGACATGAAAAACAATTGAGCCCTCTATGTGCTCACGCGCTTTCGTGCCTTTCAAGACCGGTTTCAGCTATATGCCACTTCCTCTTTCCACCAGGTACGGCCATGACAAGAAGGAGATTGCGGGCCAACTTGGGCCCCTACGTCAAGCATGGCGTCATCCGCGAAGATCAGAGCAGACAGCCTGCCATGTTTTGTCGACCGGCACTGCGTTGTCTTCAAACAAGGTCAACTTAACTTGCAGTGCATGCTGTCCAGGCTCTCACTTTCCAGAGTTTGGGCTTGAAAGGTGATTGGAACTAGTTAGTTAGGACCATGATGAGAGATGCCCTTCCTCAGTCCCCTTTGCCACCAAAGCTGGACTGCATTCTCCGTCGGCTGGCTTGGCTAAATGCCCCAAAGGTGCCCTGGGTGAAAAAATAACTTGGACCCGAGGGATTCCACTTTCTTCTCTCCAAACCAGGGCCAAACCACCAAGGTGTTCATCCTTACTGTGTTGCTCATTGGATCATTGACTTCGGTGGATATGACCAAGAACGACTACACAGTGGTAGAATTCTATGCAGGGGCAGCTCGTTTGGCAAAGCTTGCCACTGCCCTAGGGGAGTCTTGTGCGGCAATGGATATCCTCTATGACCTTGAGGGTCTCAACAAAAGAAAACACAATGCGATGGACATGAACACAAATGCAGGGTTCGTGTCTCTTGCCTTTGACCTGTGTTTTTCCCTGCCTGCTGTCCGTGGTGGCCCACTGTTTGGCAAGACCTCGGACATTCAGGTTATCCATTGTAATGATTCTTCAAGCTCGATGGGAAGAGTTTTTGGCACTCTATGGAATCACGTGCTCTACCTATGTTTCAATCTCCAGGGGGTCCACAAAGCGCAGCAAATTCTTACCAACAGGATGCCCTATTTCCCTGGCTGTCTACAGATCGAACAAAGGAACCGCGAGGTGAGGGGTTGTCAATCGAGAGTGGTTTGCCTAGAAAGCCGACCATTGAATAAGTACAGCCTTGCAGGTCCATGCTTCTCGTGCTCCTCACGATTGCGGCGGGAGGAGTTCCGATTCTGGAGAATCCCAACTCAACCCTGATAAACTTTCATCCTCGTTTCCAAGAAATTGTTCGCTTGCTGCAGCAAAAGGGGATTAGTGCCTTGACTCTCAGTTCCAGAACAATCAAGCGGGTATGTGGGATGATCGAACTTCCAACCCTATTCCATGAAGGGCTTTCCATGTAGAGGCATGTGTTTCCAGTTTGGTTTGTGAAGTGCCACAGGACTATTTCAAGCCACCCACTGGTTTTCTGTCCTTTCACGTTCAGCTCTTTTCCCCAGAATCAAGGGTAAAGCTAAATACAGGCCCAAAGTTTTCCCACCCAACCCTACCGGTCAAGGGTTGCATGAGTTGCCAGTGCCAAAACAGCCACGAGTCAGATTCATTTGGGTTACATTTCTTGGGCGTGGCGCTGACAGTTTCCAAGTATGATCGTAAGGTTACGAAAGCCAGCCTTCGTAGAAGGCGCTAGCGGAGTTGTGTCTG